TTTCTACACTGAAAATGTCTAAATTTAAGTTAAGAAAGAAAAATTAAATTGAATAAAAATTATGGGCACAATTGAAAAAGCCCCAGAACTACCTCCAAAAACTGGCAGTGTGTCTTAAATATATTTTACTTGTTGCCCAGTAGGCTTAACTCAGTGGTTGAGCATTGACCTATGAACCAGGAGGTCACAGTTTGATTCTGGTTGTGGGCTCAATCTCCAGTCTGGGGTGTGCAAGAGTCAACTGATCAATGGTTCTCTCTTATAATTGATGTTTCTATCTCTCTTTCCCTTTCTCTCTTAAATCAATAGAAAAAAAAATATATATGGTTACATTTATAATAATAATATTTATATACACTGAGTGGCCAGATTATTATGATCTCTGAATGAATAATAATCTGGCCACTCAGTGTATATCCTATATAATAAAAGGTTAATATGTAAATTATTCCCTTGACCAGGAGTTCGACCAGCTGGCAGGCCAGCCAACCGTCCATGTCATCTTCCCTCCTTTTGCACAAATTCATGCACCCAGCCTCTAGTACACACACACACACACACACACACACACACACACACACACACTGAGTGGACAGATTATTATGCATTCAGAGATCATAATAATCTGGCCACTCAGTGTATATAAAGAATTCTCTTAAAATATATTTTACTTGTTAATTTATTGATCAAAAGGAGTAAGTCCACATATGCCAGAGCCTTCTTCACCTTGGATAAAAGTATGTGGGACTTGAGCTGCCATATTTTAAGTTTTGGCTATAGCACCAACCAAACTTTCCACAGCTGTTACTTTTCTATACCCCCTTAAAGGAGGTATATAATGTAGCTTTCAATCAGCAAACAACCACTGTGCCAACATTTTGCCAATATAGGTACTTTATTGTGTGGGACAAGTGCTTATAATTACACTTCATGGTTCTCAAATGTACAAATGTTCCAAAGTATATATTAACTTAACTTTTACAACTCATACAGCTTTCGTGGATGAAAAGGTAACTGATAAAATTCAACATCTACTCTTGACAAAATAAGACATCAGTAATAAAAGAAAACTTTCTGAATACAATAAAGAATATTTATCTGAAACCAATGGACAAAAATAGGAGAAATTCTAGCAACTGAAACAAGACAAGGAGTGATGCTATCTATTATTTAACATTGTTCTATGACTTCTATCAATGTGAGACAAGAACAAGAAATAAGTTAAATGTTTTTTTAAAGTTATATGTTTTGAAGAGATAATTTTGACTTTCCAAAAACACCCTCATCAACATGCATTTCTGAGAAATTCCATTATAAAGCAGAAAGAATGAGGTACCCTAACAAAAAAAGGCAAATAGAACTTCAATTAATTAGAATATGTTAAATTTTTAAATCAAAATTTTAGAATTCTGAATACTTTCTTGTTCAATGGAGAAAGTGGGAATAATAACACATTTAGGCCTTCTGCCATTATGAGAAGTCTATTTCTTACTCTTGATTAGTATGGCATATTGATTTTTTAAAAAGTACTTTCTTTCATGATGTAGGGTCTTGCAATGTTCCACGACCCTAATATATATGTGACTTTATAGTTATAATAAATTCTTTAAATTGATGTGAAAAGTATTTCTAGTTCTGGTCACTGGGAATAGTAGTGAACAAAACAAATATTTTGCTCTCACGATCCTGACATTTTCTGTCATTTAAACTACTCTTTTATTTCAACATGTTTTTTTGTAAAATGTTTTGGCTGCAAAAATAGTACTAGATAATGTATTTGGATATTCGATGGTTTCATTAATTGAATTTGATTAACTGAGATTTTTATTTTATGATGGCTGCTTTGTAAACTTTCTGTGAATTGTGAAGGTAATGATAATTATTATGGCAATAATGACCTCCTTGGTGAAATTATTGTTTTGCTGAGAAAGTATTTTGTTTTCTTCATAAGTGGATCATAATGTACATAACAAGCCTGACAGGTCCCTGTGTTTGCCATGGGCATACATAGCAATAGTGTCTCGTCAGCTTTGTTTTCTCTTTTGTGGGAATTACAGCGTGGGTATGATCCTGTGAAGATAATTGTTAACTAGTTGCCTTAACAAATTTGACTTCTCAAAGTTATAGTTCAAGGGGGCTGGGGATTAAGGGAAGTTGATTTTAACCATTTTAGCTCTCTTTGTCTCCATAAGATAGTTGATAGTTGCCTCTCTCTGAACTTGGAGATTATAGAATATCATCAACTTGCTTTTGTATAATTCTTCACAGCCTTCAGTATTGCTTCATATATATTTTGCATTAGGTCCAAATAGAGAATAATTAAAATAGGCAGGGAAGGAAGGAATTACCATCTCTACTTTACAAAGAGGAAACTGAAATTCAAAAACATCTCTGCTGGGGTCTCCCTGGCAGTTTGGTGAAAAGCAGGGGTTAGGACCCACGTCTCAGCCAAACAAGAGATGCCTGTTTTCAGGCATGATGACCTGCTGCAGAGCTAGCAAAGCCTGCTGTGGTTGGTCACACAACTCTGGGGGCATTGCTAAACATCGAGAAACAATCTAAGCTCTGCAATTGACTACTGAGATTGGGAAAGAACTGCAAAACATCCCTTTAAAGCAAAAGTGCTAACTTGTACAAAATCCTATGTACAAGTACTACCGTTTTTCCTAAATAAAAAATAAATTAGGAGAAAAATACAGAACACAAAGAAGAAAGTGAAAATATTTATGCCACCACTAAAATCTTAGCATATATGACATTAAAGTGCTTATCTTTTCTATGTACATATACATAATTTTTAAAAATAAAATAAGATATGCTATAAATATTGCTTAGCAATCTGCTCTTTTTTTTTTTGGCTTAACACTATATCATGAACATTTCTATAAGTTAAATAATGTGCTGCCCAACTGGCAGAGCTCAGTGGTTAAGCTATGTATGAATCAGAAAATCATGGTTTTATTCCCTGTCAGGACACATGTCTGGGTTGCAGGCTTGATCTCCAGTAGGGGGTGTGCAGGAGGCAGCTGATCAATGTTTCTCTCTCATCATTGAAGTTTCTATATCTCTCTCCCTCTCCCTTCCTCTCTGAAGTCAATAATAAAAATATATTTAAAAATAAGTCTTCTTTGCTTTAAAATAATGTTTATTTGAGAAAAATATTTTAATATTTATCCTTTTATTATAGAACTAGAGGCTTGGTGCAGTGCATTAAATTCATGCATGGGGGGGGGGTTCCCTCAGCCCAGCCTACACCCTCTCCAATCCAGGAAACCTCTCACAATCCTGGACCGCTGGCTCCTAAGTGCTCCCTCGCCTGCCTGCCTTATCTCCCGTAATTGCCCCCCTCTGCTGGCCTGATTGCCACTCACTGCCTCTGCGTGCCAGCCTGATTGCCCCTAACTGCACCCCCTGCTGGCCTGGTCACCCCCAACTGACCCCCATACCAGCCTGGTCACCCCACACAGCCTGCTGTTCAGTCATTTGGTCACCCCTCACTGACCCCCCTGCCAGCCTGATTATAGGCAGCCATCTTGTGAGGGTGTGAGGGTTAATTTGCACGATACCTCTTTATTATATAGGATTAATACATGCTCAGTGTATATAAAATCCAAACAACATAGAGCTCTAGTCTCATTAACAGCACATATAATTCCTGTTCCTGCCCAGCTGTACCTATAGGACCTAGTTTTACTACTTTAAAAGTTTTCCCAGGGAACCCCTTAAGGGGTGCCTCACATGTGCTGGCTTTTGTGGAGATAGGTATGTTCCTATATGCAGTGACTCGTGGAAGATGAAGGCCCCTTCAGGCCCAGGTGATCAGGGGAAGCAGGGGATTGGAGGGGGAACAGCCTCCACTCGGCAGGCAGGATTGCTGCATGGCCGCTGGGGGAGCATCAGGGAACAGAGACTTTGTCATGGTTTCTGGCATTCCTAAATGGGTACCTGCAGAATTGGGGAGAGGGTCCTTTTGGGGACCGTGGACAGAAATGATACACTGAGGGCAGTTGAAGTCGGGAAGGTGGGAAGGTAAGGCAGCAGACAGCAATAATATGAGCATGGTACATGCTGGAAGCAGCTGTAAAGTGGATCGATGCTTGGCCCAGCTCATTCCACCTGATCTTAGGAAATAGTACAACCAGATGAGAGTTTAGGCCAGTGTTTCTCAAATCTGTTGCTGGGACTGTATATATCACAGTAATTTAGAGGACTTGCTACAAATATGGATTAGTTACATCCTTACTCACTCCAAAGGGAATACCACTCAAGACATTTTTTTTCTGAGTGCCTATAGACATTCACAGCTGATTGGTACATCCATTTTGTATTATATTTTATTATTTCTTAATTGTTTTATGTATATGTGAGTTCCCTGTAGTTTTGTCTTACACCCACAGTGCCTGAGTATTTCAAAACTGGGTAAATCCAAAATTAAAAAAAAAAAGTCCTATCCCTCTCTTATATTTTTGAATTAAAAAAAAAATACAGCAAAAACTGGTGAGCGGTAATTAAGGGCTTAGGCCATGTTTCTGTTCTATTAAAGAAAAATGCCCCACATTTATCTGGAAATAAGATTAGAAGCATTAGAAGAATGGTAGAGTGAAACTTAAAAAAAAATTTTTTATTAAATTATTATCTGTGTACATATCTTACCATTGCCCCCCTCCCAGATATGCCCTCCCTCCTCAGAGTTTTATGTCCATTGGTTGTACTTATATGCATGTATACAAGTCCTTCCATTGATCACTTATCTCCTCCAGATCTCCCTACCCTCCCCGCTGTAATTTGACAGTCTGCTTGTTGCTTTACTGTCTCTATATCTATCTTTTGGTTCATCAGTTTATAATGTTCTTTATTATCCATAATTGAGTGAGGTCATGTGGTATTTCTCTTTCATTGACTGGCTTATTTCATAGAGTGAAACTTTTGATTATGTATGTAAGTATAAAAAAAATCTTCCTACTAATAAGCCTTTTCTCTCCTCAGATATTAAAATAACCATGAAGAAAAATATTATCAATACACAGCATTCTTTCATAAACATTCCCAATGTGATTTTCCCAGATATGGAAAAGAAAATAAGAAGGATGGAAAATGGAGCATGCAGGTAACTCCATTTTTCCATGTATTTTTAATGGAGCTCTTAAATTTTAATTTAACTTAAATTTTTTTTAATCCTTACCTAAAAGAGAGAAAGAGAGAGAGAGAGAGAAACAGAAAGAGAGAGAGAGAGAGAGAGAGAGAAACAGAAAGAGAGAGAGAGAGAGAGAGAGAGAGAGAGAGAGAGAGAAACAAAGAGAGAGAGAGAGAGAGAGAGAGAGAGAGAGAACAGAAAGAGAGAGAGAGAGAGAGAAACAGAAAGAGAGAGAGAGAGAGAGAGAGAGAGAAACAGAAAGAGAGAGAGAGAGAAACAGAAAGAGAGAGAGAGAGAGAAACAGAAAGAGAGAGAGAGAGAGAGAAACAGAAAGAGAGAGAGAGAGAAACAGAAAGAGAGAGAGATACCAATCGGTTGCCTCCTATACATTCCCCAACCAGAGATGGAACCCTCATCCTTTTTGGTGTGTGGGACCATGCTCTAGCCCATTGAACCACCCAGCCAAGGCTCAATTTAACTTTTAATTTTTAACCTTGAACTTTATAGTTTCTTTAATGTAGTAAATTTATTTAAACTTTGAAACAGCATAACTTGTACAACAAATAAACATAGACATTATTGTGATCATTTAGAAGCCCCTATGCCAAATATTTTCCTAACCACTGGCAAAACTTTCCTCATGGGACATTTCAATTCTAAAGGGATAACATTGCCATAAATACATGTGGAAAAAATACAGAGTGTGAAATGCCAGCACATTTTAAAAGAATTATTTAATGCAGTTATTCTATTTCTATAAATGAAGAGAACATGTATATATGTGGTTGAATATATTTTTAATGGAAGGAATCCTATATAATAAAAACCTAATATGCCAAGTGTCCAGTCATCCAGTCACTTGTTCAACCAATCAAAGTGTAACATGCTAAAACCACTCAACTACTCACTATGACCTGCACTGACTGCCAGGAGGCAGACAGTCAACTGGTCGGCCAGTTGCTATGCTGTGCACTGATCACCAGGGGACAGATGCTCCAACCAGTAGGTTATCTTGCTACCGGGGTCCCACCAATTGGGATTAAATGAGACAGGCCCAACACACCCTGGAGCTCTCCTGTGGTCTCTCCCTGGCCGGCCAACCTCCTGTATCCCTCCCTGCCCCAATCATGCACTAGTGTAGTCCCTTGGCCTGGCCTGTGCCCTCTTGCAATCTGGGATCCCTCAGGAATGTCAGAAAACTGGTTTTGGCCTGATCCCACAGGCCAGGCCTATGGACCCCTACTGGTGCACAAATTTGTGCACTGAGCCTTTAGGATTTTCATAAATTAGTCCATAGCCCTATATATGACCTAGAAAGTATTTTCTTAATTACATGTATATCACTGAATTGTGGTTACAATCCTACGTATTCTGTACAGTTCTCATTTCACTCTAATTAAAAGTCGCTGTATGTGTTACTTTGAGAGGGAAGGAAAAGGGGTAAGCATCACCCTAATGAGAATTGGCATTTCTCCATATCAGTTTACAGCAAGCATGTCAAACTCAAAGGCTAACATGGGCCAAATAAACAAGGTTTAAGTTTATGTGGGCCACAAAAAAACAAAAGCTTCAATTTCCATAGAAATGTAGGTTTATTTCAATAGAGACATGCTGAATACAAAGGGATGAAATAAATGTGTAATCATTAATATAAAATAATAGAACATTTAAATAAAATTAATATTTTTTCTTGAACATTAACTTACCAGACACCAAATAACAGCACAAGTTAGTAAGCAGAACACAAATAAACCTATTTTTCTTATCCTCCGAAAGCAAACTATTTCCTTTTGTACACACCAAACAAGTCAGTCCAAGACTAATGATGTAGCAATTGGCTCTAAAATATTCGCTGCTAGTATTAGTGGAGAGAAATGGTGCACCTGCATGTAAGGCATGTAAGGGATAAGAATGCAATATGATCACGTATAGTAATCAGTCATTAGCGAACGTTGTAGTTCACTATTAATCATGTATAACAGGATATTGTAAAAATTAAGTTATGAAATATTTATTAAAATGTTTCTGACATACTGTTATATTGGCTGGGCTGCAAAAGTATTCCTTGTGGGCCACGTGCCGCCTGTAGGCTGCGAGTTTGACATGCTTGGTTTAGAGCATTGATCTAATTCATCTCTCCCTCCCATTGGACTGTAGCTCCTTTTCTGACGACGATGACAGTGCCTCTATATTTGAAGACTCTGAGAGTGAAAACCCCTGTGCAAGGGATTCCTTCAGAAATAGTTCACGCAGGAAGGGAGGACCATCACAGAGGTGAGCAATCTAATCTGTTTCCCCATCTTGGTTTTTAAACCATTGCTTAGATGAAAAAAGATCTCCTTTGAGGGAACTTGGCAAATGGTCCTGCTCCCTCATCACTAGGCAGGATCTCGGGAGGAGCTCGCTACTTCTCTTCTTGGGAGACGGTGATTATTCATGTCCATGGGGCTCCAAGTCATACTCTTGCTGATCATTTTCCCTGAGACACATGTCCGTCTCTTAAGCTTCATGCTCCAGTCCCCTCTGATTTCCTCCTTCTCTCTGATCCTTCTTCTAAGATCCTGAAGTAGTTTAGCTCTGTTTGGCTGTCATTTTTTTTTTCTTTAATATTTATTTTTATTGATTTCAGAGAGGCAGGGAGAGGGATAGAGATAGAAACATCAATGATGAGAGAGAATCATTGCTTGGCTGCCTCCTGCATGCCCCCTGCTGGGAATCAAGCCTGCGATCCAGGCATGTGCCCTTGGTTGGAATCGAACCTGGGACCTTTCAGTTCACAGGCTGATGCTCTACCCATTGAGCTAAATCAGCTAGGGCTTGGCTGTCATTTTTTAAAAATCCCATTTGACTTTTCTTTCAGGAAAGTAGAGAACTGGAGTGAGTAGTTAGAAGAGAAAAGCTTAAAATCCTTTGTAGGGAATAAGCAATCATGGAAACTTCAAACATGCTATTCTAAGGGGTTGGAAGCTGTGTGTGGTGGTGTGGGTCAGGGATTGCCATTCTATAAAATATATATGGGACATAGTCACTTTTTATTTGCTGTTTGTTCTACCTTTTTTCCTTCTCTCCCATTTCTCTTTTCAACTGACTACCTCCAGTTTTTCCACTCTTTTCATTTGCCTTTCTTTCCCTTCCTAGCTTCCTAAGCGTAAGTCTCACGTCTCTTGCTGGGAGTTAGCGGCATCCAGTTGGCTCAGTGGAGACCAATAAGGATGCTACTTCTTGGTGTGAGCACTGATCAGCAGGTGTTTACTAATCACTTTGTTTCATGGCATGATATTTGGTAGCTCATGCTTCATGGAGGCTCTACATTTTCAAAACTTGTCTAGACAATCATTAGTAATAAGTAGAAACTGAAAAAAAGTTGTTCTTTGAGGCTGTGTGCTTACCATAGACATTATATGGATGGTGACTGCTATGATTTCACTGTACTTCTTCATTCCCTAGGGAACAGCACCTGCCTGGTGTCATCGCACTTTTCAATGTTAACAACAGCAGCAATAAGGAGCAGTAAGTATATTTACAATAGGAAACGAAATATAATAATATACTAATAATTATTATATTTGTTTTACAATATAAATAGAGAAAACCAGTGAAAAGGTAGGGATATATCTGAACCTGTTATAGGGCAGATATTAGGCAATGACATTGATATTCTGTCACTTTGTTTGTTTATGTACTTCTGAAAAATGTAGCTACCCATATTAAAAGTGGTGTGTGTGCATGTATGTATGCATGTGAGCATTTCAATACTGCAAATTACTATTATGGGCCCAATCTCTCTTTGAAGGGTAAGCATTGCCACTAGTCTCTGTTCTCTCTGGATCTTGGCATCCCTCTTGCTCTAAGGGAGCCCAGTTCTGTATCAGCATCTCTTATTATCAGGTCTGGCCTACAGAAGACAGTACCACTGAATTCTCAGTGATGCTGGTGCCCTCTCACCAGCACATTTCAGATCTTTTTTGTACTCTCTGAGCATTCTTAGGGAACATAAGCAACTGGTGGGCCATCTCCCTTATGTAGCATGCCCATGCTAGCATACCACTCTCTGAGCCTTTTTGGTACCTTCTTCTACCATCTGGAGTGGCATGTTGTCATTTCTATTTCACTTGGCATGAGCTCTCAGCTTTTCTGAGCTTTCAAGCTCCACCTGAGCAGCGTGTGAGCACCATCTTTCCGGGTCGATGCTAAGGTGTTCAATCCTATCTCACAGGAGTGAGTTCCCATAGAGACAAATTCTCCCCTTTTCAACTTTATGTTCTGTTCCCATTTGACGAGATGGCCTTAGATACCAAGCTTCACTTGTCAGTTTTATCTCCTATTTCTCCTCAATAGCAGCTTTCCACTTCTGGTCATTTGCATCCAGATGAAATTTATTTGTATATTTGTACCTAAAAATGTCCTCTCTTTAACATCCTCCCTCTTCTCAACTTTTCCAACTCTTGCTCATATGTTGAGACCTAGATGTAGACCTCCCTCCCTTTATCAGCCTTCTCTGGTAATCCTCGTGGTAGTGACATGCCTGTTCTTTCATGTGCCAACAGTAACTCTTACAAGGACATTGGAGCCAACAATGGCAGCCTGCTGAGACCTTGGGTCTGGCTGACTGGCTCCAGAATCCTTTTTCTGCTCATGGAGAAAAGCAGTCATAGAAAGAGGCCTCTAATCACGTAATTTCCACTCAGGAAGAAATTGCATATATATATATATATATATTCTCAGATTTAGTGAATGATTCTAAGAATTAGGATTCCACTATGTTACCACAGAGCTTTTTGACTACTCAGAAAATAATTGCTTCAGGCAGAATGAATGCTCTACAAAAATTGATGGTATTTTCTCAAAATTCTCAAAGCTCTTATTTAAGGATAAATCTAAATAATATCAAGATTCTAAATTTAAATATATATATATATATATATATATATATATATATATATATATATATATATATTGAAACTTGGAAAGTACATTCTTTTAGGAGCTCTTGTTTCTTAAGTTTCTCTCCTTGAGTTTACGCCTTTACCCAGCTCTATCTTCTTCAGTTTTCCACTTTCACCTACTCAAGAATTATTCTTTGTTTGCCTTGTTACCTGGATGCATGTACATTTTAGTAGAACTCTCCATTAGAAGACCAGATTTCTGGCTTCGAAACACAGGGGAAGGTCTTTGAATACAAAGCTGAGAATTATTGTTTGGTGGAGAGAAAAATAAGTCAGAATGGAAGTCAGAATGGAATTTGATTATGTGATGGAGATATTGTTTCTTCTCTAGAGAGCCAAAAGAAAAAAAGAAAAAGAAAAAAGAAAAGAAGAGGTAAGTTAGACTTCCACAGTTTTCTGCCCATGACGTTTTTTTTTGTTTGTTTGTTTGTTTGTTTTTTGGCATTCTAATACTAACTAAATAGCTCACTTTTTCAGCAAGCCAGATGATGAAAGTGAAAATAAAAAGGACCCAGAGAAGAAAAAGAAAAAAGACAAAGACAAAGAGAAGAAAAAGAAAGCGGAAAAGAAAGACAAAGATAAAAAAGAAGAGTAAGTTTTTAAAATTCTCATTGAAATCAGGAATGCATTGGTGATGTGTTTTGGATCCAGGGGACATTTTCTGAAACTTTATAGTACAGAGGCCATCTGTGAAGACTAAATAAATTGTTATTAAATGTAGTTTAACTTTTTTCTTATTTTCTTAAAATTAACAACAGAAGCCTCATTCTTAGTTTTCTCATCAAGAATTTTCAAAGCTATCATTAATTCCCTTTCCCAAACTCTGATAGAGATACACTTACTACTGTGAGATAGTTAGGCTCCATGGAGCATAGGATTCCTAGGATCTCGCCATCAATCTAAAGAAAATTAAAATATAAATTCAATAATTTCATTACTATTTTTGCATAATAAATACAATATGGGAAATACTCCAAAGTAAAGGAGTCTCCTTGCAAGAGCCATGCCTCATTTCAAAAGCAAAAACACCAGCCATTTGAATGATTCTTTTTCAAACCAACATCTGAGAATCGCACCATGATAAGGCTGAGTCGATACTGCTGTGATAATCTGGTTATTCTTTAACAGGAAGGGATTAAAGGGAAGACTAGATCATATAGGCATGTCATTTATACAGCTTTGCTGATTTAATGCTCTCCAGGTAAGGCAGTTTGGGCATCTGCCCAGTAAGGTCTGAGTGACGTGGGAAGGGGCCTGTATGCCAGTCACACCGGGAAGTGAGGCTGTGCCCAGGGTAGGTATAGCCACTGTAAGGGGGAGAAACCTGACCACTTACACTCCTAGACAAAGGCTACACACACTCTTGGCTCTGGGCTCTGGGCTCTGGGCCCTCTTGGGGCTTCCGTTCCAGGGAGTACACTCCTGCATTTGCAGGAGTCTCAGTAATGTAAGACGCCATACAATGGACTAATGGACTTGAATTCACCTGAGGCTGGACTAGACCCAGCTGCAATTTGGAACACTGGCCTTGCTTGGGCTTTGTGGAATCCACAGCCGCCCCTCCTTCAGGGCTGGCTGAAGGGAAATGGGATGTTGGAAGCTGAGGAACAGAACTCCACACAAAGTCTTCTACCGCACCTCATTCTCCCGGGGGAGCTTCTGAAAGTGCTCATTTCAGTGGCACCCCAAGAACCCCTGTCCCATGAGCAATGGTGGAATCCCACTCCTGTATTCTGGTAGCAGAGAGGTAGTTGCGAAACTCTTTTTGCTTTTTATTTATTTTTATTTTTAAAACGTATTTTTATTGATTTTTACAGAGAGGAAGAGAGAGGGATAGAGAGTTAGAAACATCAATGAGAGAGAAACATTGATCATCTGCTTCCTGCACATCCCCCACTGGGGATGTGCCTGCAACCAAGGTACATGCTCTTGACTAGAATCAAACCTGGGACCCTTCAGTCCTCAGGCCGATGCTCTATCCAATGAGCCAAACCGGTTTCAGCTCTTTTTGATTTTTATCAAAGGAAAAATTGTTTTCTAAACTTACTTAAAACTCTGTACCAGACAATGGTTCAATTATTTGTGCCTGTTAGAAAGTTGTTGACGTTTGTATAAAGAAAAAAGTCCTTAAAATATAGGCTTAATACTACAAAAATGTTTAAAACATTGATTTGAACATATATTTTCTTCCTCCCTTCCTCTTGCCCACTCTTGCCTCCCTTAATCCTTTGTATGTGCTTATGCATATGCACGTTTATTAGATTGTGTTATGTTGTTCTTTCCTACAGATCGGAAAGAAGCCATGAGCTCTCCCCTTACAGTGTAGTTCTTGGTTGTTTTGTTCCCTGGTCGGGGGCTTGGCAAAGCCAGGATTCTCCCACCATCTACACCCTACCAAAGGGTTCTGTGAAATGTCCAGGGTTTGGCATGATCTATGCCACGATTCCTTCTTTGTGGCTGAAGAGAAAGAAGTGTCTACAGCATCGCAGTAAAACAAGGGCTTTAATTGAAGTGTAAAATTTGGTTTCATGTAAGACTAGTAATTGAACTATCATGTTTCCCCGAAAATAAGACATCCTCCAAAAATAAAACCTACTTACAGGTTTCCTTCTGAGTGAAATATAAGGCATTCCCCCCGAAAATAAGGCCCCCCTAGGCTAAACATGAGAGATTTGGTCCACTGATTCTGAAAGAAATGGAGTCACAAGAAATCTACCAGGAAATTCAGGAATTGGATTGTTATGATGATGTTCCAGAAGATGATGACATGATTGTCATTGAATAAATGAGTAAATTCTTGATACTGTAGGATTCACAGTTTGTCTGGTTTGTATTGACAACTACCGTACTACCGTACCATATATAGGTAATAAATTTCCTTTATTTTCATTTAATAATAAATGTGTACCGTATTCTTCTTCATGGAAAAATAAGACATCCCCTGAAAATAAGACCTAGCGCATCTTTGGGAGCAAAATAAGACACTGTCTTATTTTCGGGAAAACAAGGTATCCTGCCACCCTTCATGAACTAGTTTCTTATGACCAGTGCACTTAAGCCAAGCTAACCTTCCGGCTTCTCCAGCTTCCTTCTCTTTTGTTCATTGTGGGGATGGGCATAGTTGTATTTGACAGGTGACATTGAAATGTTTTTGTTTCTTGGTAACTTTCCCCTCTGCGTCTGATTGCTGCTAGGAAGAAGAAAGAAGTCATGGTGATTGATCCCTCAGGAAACACATACTACAATTGGCTGTTCTGCATCACCTTACCTGTCATGTACAACTGGACTCTGGTTATTGCAAGGTCTCTATGTTTTTGTGGATCTCAGCTCACTTCCAGTTTCCAGGTTAACTGACTTAACTGTTTGGCTTAGAACTCTTCAGGGCACACCTCTTTTCTTCATCTCAGCTTGTAAAGAGACTCTATTGCTCTCAACGTGTTTTCCTAAGATCAGGAGTAGGTACTTTCCTTGCCAATATACCTGGAAACCCAGTAGCAGGATGGAGGAATGAAGAGGATACTTTTTAATTTTGATTGCCCAATCATTTAATTAAAACTTTTGGGAGACAAATTTTTTTTTTTCCCTACAGGAAAAAATCTTGCCAAGAGTAGAAAAAGATCAAGGATCTAGATTGGTTTAGAACAAGGTGTGTTTCCCAAATGATTTCTTTGGTTTCTTGTCTTTTAGCCAGTAAGCAGCTCAGCCATCCAGAACCAAGCATAATTTCCTGAAGCATTTGGGCACTGGCAGTCAGTATGAACCTGGTTATTTATGTATATGACCCAATGTATTTGACTTTAGCTCTAGGTCATTCATTCTTATTTGATGTTTTCATAAAGCTAACTAGTATAATGGCAAGGATATTGAAATTCAGAAGTGTGAGAAAACTAATCCAACCACTCCGATTTGGGAAAGCCATGGTTGATTGAATGGACTCTAAGGTTCCCTCCTAGTCTTATATATCTCATCATGAGAAAATTATACAAAGAGGACTTTTACTGAATGGCTACCATTTTATTAATATATATATATTTGTTTGTTTTACAGAGCTTGCTTTGATGAACTCCAGTCTGATTACCTAGCGTATTGGCTCGTTTTTGATTACTTGTCAGATGTAGTCTATCTTCTCGATATGTTTGTACGAACCAGGACAGGTAAATATGTTCAATTTGGGATACTTTGCAATTTCATGATTTTGTATCTATAATATAATTTGAAAATTTTCTAATTAAAGCATTCTTCAAAGTAACTCACAAAAACCTGTCTTAGAGAGAGAAAAAGAGGGAAAAAACACAGTTGAAAGCAAGAATACCTTATTCTCACTCACAGACTTAGTTTGCTCCAATGGCTTCGGAAGGGATGTTTCTAGGCAACCTTTTGAATGTGATGGGTGGCTTTCCTCTTTTACCCTGTTCACTGGGTTTATGTCACGTGAAAGGGCTAGGGAGAGCAGAAACAGTCCGTCAGCCTGCTGTGGAAAGGGAAATTGCTACCTCAGGAGAGATTAAAGAGGCATGGGGGGAAGTGTCATTGTACTCAGCAGAGCTGTATTAGAAATTTTGTAAGAAGCAGAACACACCTCCTTAACTCAATTTTGTGACCCATCCTGAGGCATTATTGACCAGGGGGAAGAATCTAATAACTACCTACTTTAAATACTCTTGTTAAGTAGATATAAACTCACTGTTTCTACACTGCTTCCACATGCAAATGGAACCAGTGAACACAGAGCATTGCTGTTGCTGTGTCCTGTTTGCAGCTCCGATAGTCAGTATAGGAGGAAGAACAAATTATTCTCCTAGAGAAATGTATCAGAGTGCTGAAATGCTGGATTTACTTCACCAGGCCCGTGGTAGCAGTGTAGGAGAATGGAAGACCCCACATGTCTAACTAAGGAATGCTGACGCCAAGGACACCTATGCTTCACACTGAAGGAGCAAGGAAGGAATATTCACAATGGTGCCCACGTTTCAAGGGTGGGGTTGGGGTTTTGTCAAGAGAGTAGCCTGAGGTATAAGCACAATACTCAGTGGTCCAGGAGACTTTCCAAAAATGCTGTTCATAAAAGCAGTGGCTTTGCCTGGCTGGGGATACTGATTCACAGAGATTTATATATATACCTTGCATATAATTTCTCACTTTTGCACTTACAAAGTTTTACTTTTTATTTCTGCACAACAGTATGTTCCATAGTTATATGTTGATTGGTGCTCATATCTTACTACATTGCTAAAAGCATATTTATTGAAAGTGAGTTCTTGTTTTGAACTCAATGAAGTTTATTGAGAGTTACTTCAGAAAAATTCACAATAGCATGAAAAGAAAAAACATTAAATTGATTTTTTTTTTTCTATGTTAGGTTACCTAGAACAAGGACTGCTGGTGAAGGAAGAGCTTAAACTCATAGAGAAATATAAATCAAACTTACAATTTAAACTTGATGTTCTATCAGTGGTACCAACCGATCTGCTATATTTTAAGTTGGGGTGGAACTACCCGGAAATTAGATTAAACAGACTCTTAAGGATCTCTCGAATGTTTGAGTTCTTCCAAAGAACCGAAACAAGAACTAACTACCCCAACATCTTCAGGATCTCTAACCTTGTTATGTACATTGTCATCATTATCCACTGGAACGCGTGTGTGTACTACTCCATTTCCAAAGCGATTGGATTTGGAAATGATACGTGGGTCTATCCTGATGCCAATGATCCTGAATTTGGCCGTTTGGCTAGGAAGTATGTCTATAGCCTTTACTGGTCTACGCTGACTTTGACCACCATTGGTGAAACACCGCCTCCTGTGAGGGATTCTGAGTATGTCTTCGTGGTGGTTGATTTCTTAATTGGAGTGTTAATTTTTGCTACCATCGTTGGTAACATAGGGTCTATGATTTCCAACATGAATGCAGCCAGAGCAGAATTTCAAGCAAGAATTGATGCCATCAAGCAATATATGCATTTTCGAAATGTAAGCAAAGATATGGAAAAGAGAGTCATTAAATGGTTCGACTATCTGTGGACCAACAAAAAAACGGTGGATGAGAGGGAAGTTTTGAAGTATCTACCAGACAAACTAAGAGCGGAGATTGCCATCAGCGTCCACTTAGACACGTTAAAAAAGGTGCGCATTTTTGCCGACTGTGAGGCTGGTCTGTTGGTAGAGCTGGTCTTGAAATTACAACCCCAAGTCTACAGCCCTGGAGATTACATTTGCAAGAAAGGCGACATCGGACGGGAGATGTACATCATCAAGGAAGGCAAGCTCGCGGTGGTGGCAGATGACGGAATCACTCAGTTTGTGGTGTTGAGTGACGGCAGCTACTTTGGCGAGATCAGCATCCTTAACATCAAAGGCAGCAAAGCTGGCAACCGAAGGACGGCCAATATTAAAAGCATTGGCTACTCAGATCTGTTCTGTCTCTCAAAAGACGACCTCATGGAAGCCCTGACTGAGTACCCAGATGCTAAAGGTATGCTAGAAGAGAAGGGGAGGCAAATCTTGATGAAAGATGGTCTGCTGGATGTCAACATCGCGAATGCTGGACACGACCCCAAAGATCTTGAAGAGAAGGTCACCCGGATGGAAGGGTCAGTAGACCTCATGCAAACAAGGTTTGCTCGGATCCTGGCCGAGTATGAGTCCATGCAGCAGAAACTGAAGCAGAGGCTAACCAAGGTGGAGAAATTTCTGAAACCACTTATCGAAACAGAGTTTTCAGCCATTGAAGGACCTGGTGCTGAAACTGGGCCCACAGACTCCACACAGGACTGAAGAGAGCTAGCTATTAACAAGGACACACCTCGTGATCCTTTCGGTTCTGTGACTCAGTGATGATTAAGTTGGAAGAAGAGAAAGGTACAGCTGGGGGATTTTCCATGAGAAAAATGTGCTTTTGGTGCAGGACACAAGGCCAACACACTAGCACGTAAGGTACTATGGTTAAAGAATCATCATATCTTGGGATTTTCCGCAATGGACAATGTACGAAGGTTTAACTGATTAACTTGTCGGTATCTACATCTTCTGATTTCCCCCCACCCCACGTTTGCTCCTTTCGTGTAACAATATTTATAAAAGGTAACAAGTGTCCCTCACGTTCAGGCAATTTACATGGTTGAGGAGGAACTGGGAAGTACCATGTGCACCATGTTCAGAATACTGTTTAAAAAGAATTAGGACGCAATAAAGAAAAATAAATTTTCAAACGATAGTGAATATTATTTATTTAATTACTTAGTAGGGAGTTTCGGATCTTGTAGAGATTCAAGGTCATTTTAAGGATATTAATCGTCATACTCTAGGCTTAGAAAGACTGGTTGAGAGAAATTTCTTTTTAAAAAAAAAATATATTTTATTGATTTTGTACAGAGAGGAAGGTGAGAGATAGAGTTAGAAACATCGATGAGAGAGTCATCGATCAGCTGCCTCTTGCATACCCCCTACTGGGGATGTGCCCGCAACCAAGGTACATGCCCTTGACTGGAATCGAACCCGGGACCCTTCAGTCCCCAAGTCGACGCTCTATCCATTGAGCCAAACTGGTCTCGGCTGGTTGAGAGAAATTTCTTACTGATAAAAGAATTATAAATCAGACTTTACTGTACAAATATATGCATATATATATATATATATATATATATATATATATATGACCTTAAAATAAAAACATTTTGTAGGATTTTTAAATAATAAATTAAAATTTTTTTTCTGATTATTAAGGCCTGACAGCAGTGGCTACTATCTTCCTCTGGTCACCAGAAAAGAGATAAAGGTAATAATATTGCTGGGTGATTAACAAAGGAAGTTGTAATGTTTGGCAAGGAAACTGGGAGTTCAATGGATCAGCATGGGCATCACCTGGGAGCTTCTTAAAATCTCAGAATCTCAGGCCTACCCATTGTGTCCAAATCTGCATTTTAGCAAGACAGTTAGGTGACACATTAAAGCTTGAGAAGCACCTCCCTAGAGAACCAGGAAGAAGTAAATGGGAGGATAGTTCTAGAAAAGAAAAGGACAAGTATGACTAGTATGTGGCCATAGAAGACATTGCTAATCAATCACACAGCTCTTACTGCTGAGCCCAGCCATGTTTCAAAATATTCTTCCTAATACAGATTACAGAAATTGATAAAAGATTTCTATCCCCACCTAAAATAACATGATTTAATGCAGCTCCTTGTTAATTTGACATATCGGATATGTATATGGACTCCAGTCAGTGTAGCTCAATAATAGAATTTATTCTTCTCTACCCATTGTACTATACACATTATGTCTTTGCAGTCTTAAGTTTCCCTTCTACATTTTGCCTGTCCCTTCAGTAACAGCTGGCAGGGATTTCTTCGCTGTAGAAGTGGCTATTTCTGGAGTGGTAGGGCCATAGATAATAAGTAACATGGCTTCTACCTGAGACAAGTGCTCCTTTTTCTGTCTTTTCTTTCTGATTCTTATTGTTCCTTTGCTTCAGCTGCATTGTATTCTTTTCTTTGTGCTCTTTCTTGCCTGTCATACAAACCTGTAAGACCTTAAAGAAGTTTGCTGGCTACTCATGTCAGGCAGATGTGGTAAGTCAGGAATGAGTGAGGGTTACATATCTGGAGAAGCAACCCCACTCACAACTTCCAGGAGTGAGCACTTTGAGTCTGATTTGGGCTGGAGACATATCCAATGGTTCTGACTTGATGACCTTTAACCCTATGCTCTATGAGTCTTGCTTTGCTCGAATTGGATGGTGGCAGATTCTTGGTTTAAAGACTTGGAGTAAGTAGGGTTTAGCCAACTCTTTTCTCACAACTTGCCCAAATAGACACTTTGACAGATAGTGGTGGGGGCTCCAGTTTGGACACCTGGAGGGAAATTCAGATGTGCACAACTGGGTTTCAGCTTCATTAGAGAATATTGTAAAAGGACAAAAAACATGTGGCTTTGGGGAGACCCACAGTGAAGTGCTGACCTGGTACACGTGGCTGCCAAATTTAGAAATCCAGAGACCAGCCATATTTCAGGCTGATTCCAGTCTCCAAATGCTTGTCTATAACTAGCTTCTTAATATATTAGGACTAGGACAGACTTGGCATAAGGACAAAGGAGGGCTGGCCTGACTTTGAAGATCTTTAATAATTGCATCTGGGAGATGAGAGAGAGAATGCTGGAACTCATGGATGCCAGATAGCAAGGGAGCAGAAACCCAATCACCAATCTTGCCAGTGTGATGAATGTCCCCCGGCTCTGCCATGATGTCAGGTTGTCATAGGAAGAGACTGTGCAGAGTTTTGCATATGTGTTTTTTTTTTTTAAAAAAAAAACATAACTTTTCCAATTTGAGATATGTTGTGATTAGGCTTCTTACCATTAGGTGGCAATGTTGGCCTACCATGATTACCTTCAAAGCCTGAAACTGAATATTTTTCTCCATAGAAATTAAAGGTAGTAAAATCAGAGCTCTTTGGCAATAATGGGTAATTTTTTTCTAAAGTGGATATTTCTAAAAAAAATTTTTAGTATACTCAAATATATACCAGTCAAGTAAAAACATGATCAAGTAGAATTTAAAATGCAAGGTAAATGGAAGCATTTTTAATAGTTCTTAATTTCAGGAAGCTTACCAAGGCAATCATGATAATTATATTACAGGAAGCTTTTTAAAATGTGTAAGATGTGTTTTAGAGGCAAAAAAAAAAGCGGGGGGGAGGAGAGCAAGTAACAATTATATTGTGATTCAGTTTATATCTATATTTAAAAGTTCATTGTTTTAAAAAGTTTGAAAACCACTGACTTATATCAGCAGCATTGGCAGTATTCCTGGCTAGGACCCTGTCAGTGTAGGTGATATTTTCCCTCACCACTAATGGTATTATTGGATGTCCTAGTTTTTAAATTTAAGAATTTAAAAATACCCAACAATAGGCTTCTAGAGTCAAATAGAATAATTTGCTATTCACTGGATTAGTTTGTATCTAGCTGAAGGGAGAGAGTGGGAAATTCATGGAAAGGGAATCAAAGGATATAGAAAGTGCGGAAAGATCCTGGAGGTCATCAAGATAACTTCTTCTCGTTTTATAAACACTAGAATGATGATCAGGCAACACGTAAGCTGGTGAGAACAAAGACTATTAGGAATTTTGAGAGTGGGAATTTTTACTGTATGTTGGACAATGATATGGTAATATCTACTACAGCCCAAAGTTGAGCTCACCTAAAACTCAGACATTTCATTCTTAGGCATAGCCACTAGAGAAAATTGTGCCCATATCCATAAGGAGACATGCTGAAGAATCTTTATAATAATAATTTTAAAAGAAACAAATAGGTCGAGAGCAGCCAGGCCCAGAGCAGCAGCAGCCAGGCTGGGAGCGGCCAGGCCCGGAGCAGCCGGGCCCAGAGCAGCCGGGTCGGGAGCAGCCAGGCCTGGAGCAGCAGCAGCCAGGCCAGGAGCGGTAGTGGCCAGACCCAGAGCAGCTGGTTGTGGAGCAGACCAGAGCAACAGAGGCCAGGCCCGGAGCAGACAGGCCCGAAACAGCTGGCTCCTCGCCTGCCCCCGCCCCAGGGCTGCCTCTCAGACATGGCTGGAAACTTTTGGGGGAACTTGAGGGTCTGCTGAATCAAGTGATGAAGGCTTAGATCTGGAAGTGTTGAGTTAGTATAGCGCTGGGGTGTTGATCTGTGAGTGCCTTGTGTGGGGTCTGGATGAGGTTGGTTGACCTATTTGGAAATGTCTTTTGTGTGAAGTGTATCCTTGGGCATGTGGAGGTATTATTGATTGGAGAAAATGCTAAGTAACTGATTTACTACCTGAAAAATTTAAAGTTCTGAAAGTTTAAGGTCTCTTGCCAAAAAGAGGTTTTAAAGCTAACACCTTAATTTTAATGGAGAAAGGGGAGGACAAGCCATTCCCACCCAGAATAGGTAATCAAATTCCAACCAGCAGCTATCTTTAAACAATGTGTTCATTTACACTTGAATGGCTACACCTTTTGATAGCCTACGGGCAAGTTTACATGTAAACAAGTTTGCTTCTTAATTCCCAGGGCAGAAAAAAACAAGGTTTAAAATTATTAGATTTTAAAATTTATTCTTAGAAGTATAAAAGTTTATTAATTAAAAAACAACAACAACAACAACAACAAAAAGGAGATTGAAAAACCTGATGAACAATATTAGCTGTTGATTGTAGTAGAGTCGGCGATATGGGAGGGGAGTGGACTGACAGTTCTCGGGGAAAGGGGGAGTGGTGGATGCGGGAAGAGACTGAACATAAACTGTGCACCTATGGATGAGGACAATGGGGGGTGGGGAGAGGGTGGACGGTGGGGTGGGAACCTGGTGGAGGGGGGAAGAAATGAGGAACCTTTGTAATAATATGAACAATAAAGATTGATTTAAGAATTTAAAAAAAAAATAAAAAAAATAAAAGAAACAAATAAATGTTCATCAAAAGGAAGTTAGATATAGACCTGGCTGGGCAGCTCAGTTGGTTGGAATATCCTCCGTACACCAAGATATGTTGCAGGTTTGATTTCCAGTCAGGGCACATACCTAGGTTGCAAGTTTGATCCCTGGTCAGAGCAGCATGGGGGCAACCCATCTTCTCTCTTGTCGATGTTTTTCTCTCTCCCTCTCTCTCTCTTAAATCAATAAACATATCCTCAGGTGAGGATTACAAACTTGTTTTAAAGGAGGTTAGATATATCAATTGGAAGACATTCATATAATGGATGTTATAAAAACATTTGAGTAGTCACAGATAACACTTATATAGTGCTTAGTATGTA